TCCTTATAATCACCTAACTACCATCAGTATAAATCTTACTACTTTGCCTTTGAAATGTCTTTCATTTTTTTTATTCCTTTACAATTGTTTCCTCTCTCTCTCTCTCTTATCATTTATTTTTTCTGTAGTCGCCATTTTTTGTCTGTATTACCAGGTATTACTGTAACAGGGAAACAACATTTAAAAGGGGATCGTGATTTACTTATTAACCCTTTCTTCTCATCTGTTGTTTTTTTCTTTCTTTCATTTTTCTACTTTCCTGTTGTTATCATAGAGAGTTAGTGTATGGGGTTGTGTATATATATAACTTGATTACCTGCTGTCAACGATTACCACATCACGTTTATACATATATTATACCGAGAGAACATAATTTCCTACCTGTAATATACAATACGTCATACATAATCTAGGATTTTAATGACAACGATGATTGATGTATCGTATTTATGGAGGGTAGAGGTAAGGAGTAACATCTCTGTATATGAAAAGTGTCCGTCGAAATGCATTCAATTAGGGTGGCGCCACAGTAGCTTGAGGGTAAATTTTAAAGGAAGCGCCAAATATTATTAGAGTAGGATTCACTGACTTTTTCATAAAATTAAATGATAAAAAATCAATAAACGTACTATTCACAATTCACGAAATAAAATCACTTTAGCTACACGTTTTTTCATAATAATTTTTTAAGGTTATATTTTTTACTACATTATTACATAACTAGGCATACTTCAATTCGTTTACAATTGCTACATTCATACCATACCTTCTGTCTACACCAGCGCCATTCTGAAAAGGTTTTTGAACTGTTATTTATAGAAAACGCTGGACACTTTTTCACATTTTCTTTCATAAGAGATGTTGTTACTCTTTATTTCTACTCTCCATAATCCTATTATACTTTTAAGAAATTCGAGTTTTGAGGTTATAAAATGGACAAAATAAAAGTGAACAGTGGCGACGTCTATGTTAATACGAATTGAAGTAGAATGATAAAATGGTAGCTGGGTTATTAACGAGGATACTAATTAAAGATCTCTTTCTGTTTCATGCTTCGCCTGGGGACGTACATCGGTCGTTGAATTCTACTGCTTTCATCGTCTCGTTTATTGTAGTATGTAAGTAAATCTTTTATCTTTTTTTATTCTTCTTTTACTTGTTCCTTTTTCTTTTTTTTTGTGTTGTGTGTGTGTGTTTTCTTGATATTTAATATATCTTATAAATTATGTAAGTACATGCATGAAATTGATGTGTAATTAAGATGAAAGTATTGAATACGTGTAAAAATATTGAATATTCATTAGGGTTTGATTTTTTTTTTTTATATAATTTTTATCAGTATTTAATTTAAATTGTCAATGTTATACTGATAATTATAAAAACGGTAGGTATTTTTTAATATAATATAAATTTAATATATTATATAAAATATATATATAATAATTTTTGATCAGTGTCTTAAATATTTGGTTAATATTTTCAATATTTTTTTTATTACTACAAAACTGTAACAAAACAAGAACCACCTGAAAAGTTCGTACGACAAAATTTCTAAAGAATTTAATTAAAAACCACGAGAAATAAAAAATTAAAACCATCATACAAATACACGATATAACATTTTAACTCAAATTTCTCTCAATATAATAAACTTAATGAACGTCAAAAATCGATCTCATTCGATTCACACAAATGGCCAGAATTTCTCCAATCAGAAATGCAATAAGATTAAAACAAAAACAAACAAAAAAACAGACAAGAAAGAGAAAAAAGAAAAGAACAATTTATGTAACGTTTATTCGAGGTTCCCTCCACTTATCACGTTTATACTTACCGGCATACATACCATAGTACGATCATACGATCGAAGATCATCGATGCAAGACCGATTACCGATCATCAACGATCTATAGCGAACGATCGAATCGTTCGATCGATCGATCGATCGATCGCAAACAACGCGTTCTGCACTATGCTTCTTCTTCCTCTTTCTCTTACTAAGAAAACTTTTGTAAGAGAAACAGGGAAAGAAAATGAGGAGTAAGAGAAAGAAGGGAGGAATAGAAGGGGGTTGGGGTGGGGGGAAAGGGATATGAAGTAAAAGCATGAAAGGGTCCGCGATTTCTCGTCGAGTGTTGAGCCAGAGTTTTTGTTGTTCTTGTTGTTCTTGTTGTTGTTCTTGTTTTTTTTTTCTTTTTTTTTGATTGTAGGCGAAAGCAACTTGGTTCGATTCGGCCAGCAGGTTTCAATTACGTGCCGGTGTGTCGGCTTGTCTGATGTTGCATTGCCGTTCTCATTATGTGGAATATGAGAGCTCGTGCTAGATGTTCTTCTTCCTTGATTTTCAAGCAGGCCTTGGCAACCGCTGTTACTGCTGTTACTGTTGTTGTTGTTGTTGTTACTGATAC